TGGTTTGGAATCTTTTGATTTTTATTTTTCATTTTTTGTTGATATTTTTTAATTTTCATCTCGTGTTAATAGTTCAATTTTTTTAAATTTTTTTGGTTATTGCTTGTATTTTATGTCATTGTAATTTCAGTTTTTTTTTGTTTGATATAATTATTATTTTTCAGCTAACTTTTTAAATTTTTTACAGATTCTTTCAGGGATTTCAAATCAATTTGTATTAGACAACGGAAGTATGAACTAATGAAATGCACTATGAAACATTGTCAACCACCTTCAAACTATTCTCATACCTACCGAATATACACAAGAAGTTTCATAAAATTTGATCGAGCCGTTTCGGAGAAGTGCGACCACAAACACAGTTACACAAGTTTTTTACATATTAGAAGATCACATTGAAGACGACTTCATTCAAAACATTCACTAGAGAACTAGTTGAATCTCCCAATTCTGAATTTTAGAGACTTCATTGCTTAGAAAATTTTTAACATATTTGAAATTTAAGAAGATGTAAATACATATAGTATTAAAATTACTGGAACCGAAATGTTTGGATGAATTAGTTGTAAAAAAGTGAAATAGCTTCTTCAGAAGTATCCAGTACTAACTAACGAACATCCTGCTTGTATATAAAATAATAATTTGAATTTTAATGACTATTACTAATTGGCAAATTTCTACCTCCAATTTATTTCACAATAAATTTGCATCATTTTAGGAACAACTCCTTAAACTCTACATAAAATAAATACAAAACTACCTGTACCATAATTAAGACCTACCTTAATTACTAATTTCATAATTATACTACAAATTCAATAATTGGAAATTATTCAAATCTGTTTGGTGAGCGAGCAATAGTTCTGGAATGAGAAGATCAATTTATCATTTGTGAACCATTTTTTGACAGAGGGGCACACAAGTTCAGTATGATTGCCATGCATTACGTTTGGAGGAGAAAGGTAAAAAAACTTTTTATGGGTAGCACAGATGTTGAAAGAGGATTTTCCTTTCAAGAA